CTTAAACTAATCAATCACTAAACTAGCCTATTTCAACCCAGTTTCCTGCAGGATTACCATGCACTACAATTCTAAATATAATCCACTGCCCACTCTGCTAAAATATACATATGTCTATATATACATTCCATTTTATAAAAAGAGAAAAGACAATAACTTTAAATTTATAATTCATTTAGTATCTTCTTTGATGTCTTTCCACTAGATTGTTAAATCCGTCATCCATAATAGGGTAACATAGCATCCTGGTGCAACAGTTTATTCAAAATCTTCAGTCATCTTCTGCCCCCATCAATAATGAATATCCTCATGTATATATAAAAATAAAAACAACCACCCGAGTGACATTATAATTATATTCCATATAGTTGTAATTGTGGTTTTCATCAGGATTATAAATCCCCATCATCTTAGTGGGTAACAGCCAGATCTTCTGCATGCCCCAGCATGACTCTCTTGCCTTGTAACTCAAAATAGATATAATATATTTATCGGTAAAGGAAATCCAAAATAGATAGTTCAAATCCAACAATGTAAGGCTCTTTCCACATCCCAAAATCACGGCATTGCAGAGATCTGCCACTTTCCTCAAGATAGTATTAAACGATAATTCGCCTCCAATATCTTTTCACACATTCATTTATTTTTTTAAAAATCCCTGGCTTCACTGTTGCTTGGTTTAGAAACTACTATTTCTACGAGATCTGTTTCTTTTCTTTTTCTTTTGCGGGTTGCATTTCCATCCAGATTTCCTTCCTACAAGTTGTGTATCAGCTGATCGGTTATCATTCTGCTTTGTAAATTGATCTTGTTGGTTTTGTTTTATTATCTCATATGTCTTTTCCATCACTTGTATATCAACTGGGTGATTTACGCACTTGTCTGTAAGTTGATAGTTCATCACATTAGAATCAGATGACACTGCTCTCAAATTTATAGACAGTCCAGCTGGGGTATCCAAGGAGTCCAAAGACAGTTTATCTACCACAGCCTCTGTAATTTGATGTTTTCCCTTTATTTCCAACTCCTTTTGCTTGTCCTGTGTTATGCCTAAAGATGTTAGATTTATTTTTAAAATTTTTTGATAAAATTCTTCCGCTTTTTCGACAGTATTCAGTTGGTATCTTACTCCTTGGTGTCTCAATATTAAACCAACTGGGACGTCCCACCTAAATAGAATATTCCTTTTTTTTAACTCATTCACTAGAAAACCAAATTTCTTCCTCTCCATTAACATCTTGGGCGGGAGTTCCTTAAAAATCCAGATCTTCCTTCCACGAAATTGCAAAGCAGAATCATAAGAATTCTGGACAATATTATTTCTAATTTCTTTGTCTGTAAAATAAATCACCACATCTCTAGGCAATTGCCTTTGTTTTGCCAACCAGGAGTTTATTCTATAAATTCTGTCAATCCTGCAAAACACTTCATCAGGTTGAACCTTTAAAATCCCAGCCAGAATTTCAGAAGATATCTTCCTTAAATCTCTGTCATCTTCCTGCAAACCTCTCAGTCTAATTGCATATTCTGTAAAATTGTATTGGATCATTAAAACTTCTCTTTCAATCCTCTGTTGTACATTTTCTTCATTAACAGTCTTTTGATCAGCCTCCATTTTAAGTTTGTCTTCTGAACTATTATCCTGAATATTTGCCAAATCCTTTTTAATTTTTTGGATCTTGTCATCCAAATTCTCCTCAGTTTCTTTCATTTTAGAGTTAGTATTTGCTTCCAACTGAGTCATAAAGTCTGCTAAGCCATTAGCTACTTTTAAAATCTTTCGATCCAAAAAGCCAAACTTAGATTTCACCAATTCACCAATTTCTTTGATTTCCAACTTAAATTTTTCAAAGTTGCTGATTCACAATCTCATCCCTTCTTACAATCTCCTCAAGAAGAAATTCTATTATATTAAAGTCAGGTTTCTGAGACTGGAGAGTTAAAACTTGTTGATGTAATTTATTAATGGGGGAATCCCCCCCCCCACTGCCTGTTTGTCTAGTTTTATAAGTCTCAGTGCCATTTTTCCACGCAGACAAAATTTACTGGAAAAGAGAGAAAAAAAAACTTTTTTTCCAACCAAGATCAATATCAGATCCTCAAAGAGAGAAAAGAAAAAAGAAAAAAAGAACAGAAGTGAGAGTGAGATTTTGCCTTCAGTTACAGCCAAAAGTATTCATTCCGCTACTTTGTAATTGAAAACGGAAGGAGTTTCCCTTTCAGCCTCTCTTCAAGCCGCAGCAGCAATCGCCATTTTAAAAAAAATTTTTTTTTCCCTTCACTTCACTTCTTAGGCAAAATAGAATAAAAAGAATACTTGCGCTTCAGGATCAGAGGTCCAGCTCATATCTTCTTTAATTAATTTATTTGACAGATTTGCAGGCTTGCTTCTGCCCCCTAGCTCTGCGTGTAGCAGAGATTTCCCAGAGCCCGGAGCATCGGCTGGGGATATGGGGAGTCTCTTCCGCTCCCTCCCAAAAGTAAATAAAAAACTTTTGGGATTAGGCAGAGGACTCTACCCACCCCAGCCGGCTCTATCTCCGTTTCCTAATGGAAACGGAGTTTTTTCGAGCCGCCATTCCGCTGAAAAAGGCGGCTCTTACAGGCAGTGGGTTCGACGATCCCGGAGGAGCGTCCAGCGGGAACAAGCAGCAAACCGGAAGTCGCTTCCATGATCTCTATTGATCTCCTATTGAGCAAGGTACCACATATACGGTACCTGTGCATTTTGTTTTTCTTGCCTAAATGTAGAACCTTGCTTTTTTTCACCGTTGAATTTCATTTTGTTAGATATCGTCCAATGTTCATGGCTGTCAAGATCCTTCTGTATCTTAAGCCTCTTAAGATCTGTATCTTAAAATCCTTCTGTATCTTCTGTATCTTATATGTTTGCTATAAAATGGTGAGTGTGGCTAGTCACGAAAGGATCTTATGGGTGTCATTAGTCAACAAATGCCTGATATTATGGGTATTGTTAGCTACAAAGTGTCTGGGATTGTGGGGGGGTCATTAGTCAGAAAATGGCTGATTCTGTGGGTGTCATTTGTTATAAAATGGCTGCCATTGGAGGTGTGGCTGATTGCTAAGCATTTATTAATGACAAGCAAATTGGGAAAGTGTCAATCCTTCTGAAGAACCAATGTTCAAATCTGCAACATAATACTTAATGGAGAGTGTTTGTGGCATAGTTAGGATCTCCTTCACGGCATGTTTTCAGGTAGAATTTAGAAGACTCTTTTTCTGGGATGCATTAAATGGGATTTCCACACCAATACTAAGTTAGACTCGTGGCCTAATTCAGTATTTTACAACCTTGGTAACACCACAATGTAGGGACCTCAATGTTAGAATTCCCCAGCCATTATGCAAATTCTGGTCTAAATAACCACTTACAGTTTTGTAATATTGTTTATGCTTGCTGTATTTTTGTTTTTTGGACAAATAAAGAGATGGTGCAATGTGGAGCTAGAAAATAGCGCTATGTATCATATGAGGAGTATAGAAATGTTTGGATTTCTATATATCAACTTCTACTGGTCTATTTGAAAGAGCATTTTTCCAAGCTTTAAGTCTGAAACATCCAGGGAAAACCATGTGTTCATAACCACCTTATATATTCTTATTTATTTATTTTTTTTAAATGTTCAAAACTACCGGTGATCTTAATTTTCCTGCTCCTTACAACAGTAAAAATGTCTGTCATTGCCACATGGACAGTGGTGGGTTACCCCCGGTTCAGACCGGTTTGCAAGAACTGGTAGTAAAACCAGCGGGAGGCCCCACCCATCGCCCCAGATGTTGTTATCAGTGATCTGCACATGCGCAGAAGCAAGGTGCATGCGCAGAAGCAAGACGCATGTGCAGAAGCAAGGCGCACACGCTCATTTCACTCTCACATGCGCGCGATCTCGTTGTGAACCGGTGGTAAAGGTAAGTAGAGCCCACCCCTGCACAGGAAGGATACTGTGCCTGGGCTGTGCCTCTAATGTAAATGAAGCGAGTTCTGATAGATGACCACTGGATAACTTTTTATTCACTCTATTCTAAAAAGCAATGCATCCGGTTGGAAAAAGTACAAACTCAGCCAAAATCCTTTTGGTTCCTCTAGGAGGCCTCTAAGTTATCAGAAGAAAGGAACATTCTAATGACATACAGCTTAAAGGTTGGTTAGGTCAAGGTGATCCACATGAGTTAAAAGTTGTCTATTGTCAGAGGATGATTTGAGTCTATGCTTCAGTAATCTGCAAAAAGAATTATAACTGTTTTGCAAAGAAACTCAGTAATTAGGAAATGTCAATTAAAAATGACAAATGTATATGACCATATGAATTGCTGAGTTAACAGAATCCTTTGTCTAGAAGGGTATAAAACCATTGTACCTAATTTCTGTCTTTGTTCAACGCTTCATGTACAGAGCTTTGAACCTATTGCGCAATATATAAAATTTGTCTCTGATTAATCTAAAAGTTGTGTTTGTCTTATTAAATCCACAATACCTCTGCTTCAAAAGTGAAAATGGAAAAAGAAAAACTTGTGATTTCTGACATAACCAGGGGTGGGCTTCAAAAATTTTAGCAAGGGGTTCTCTGCCCGGTTGATGGGTGGGCGTAGCCATGGTGGGCATGGCCTAATCGGCCTCCTGCATCATGGCAGCGGTGTGTGTGTGTGGAGTTTTGCCCTCCCCAGGTTTCGGAGGCTTTCCTTGAGCCTCTGGGAGGGCGAAAATGGCTTCCCCAGGTTCTGAAGCCCCTCTGGAGTTCTGGAACCTCCGGTAGGCCCATTTTTCACCCTCCCTGAGCCTCTGTGCGCACCCTGCACTTGCCTGCATCCAAAACGGGCTGCATGGGGACTCCTGGGAGGGGCGGGAAGGGCAGGGCCACCAAGGAGTGGGATTTTGGGGTTCTCCAAACTGCACAGAATCTTAGCTAGAGGTTCTCCCAAACCCCTGTGAATCCCCAGCAGCCCACCCCTGGAAATAATCACTGCAAAGATAATTTCTTTTATTGAATATTTTTAATATTTCCTTGAGCAGAAAAGTAGTTGCTGTTCTTTGTAATTTCTGATGAAGGAGGGAAGGGAGGGAGGGAGGGAGGGGAAGGTTTCCTCTGAATTAAGCTTTCAGTGTTATACATCACTCTTTGTTCAAGGGCTTTTATCCCTTGGTGGGGAGTTGAAGGCCTTGGACATCTATTGCGACGTCTCCTGGGCATTTAGATGATCTTGAAAATCCTTTGGGGAAAGGAGGGATGGTTTGCACGATTTGCCTGAATGAGTAAGGAGATTGGGGTTTCTAATAAGACAAAAGATACAGAAAAGTTGCTTAGGCGGTTGACCATAACTGGATTATAGATTATGCTTACTTATTTAATGAAATGTTCAAGGAAGCTGGTGTTCATAACTTCTGCTCTCCGGATGCGACAACGGTAGACCTTTCCAACTATACTTCCTCATAGGTAGGATCTTAGTTATTGTCAGTCTTACAAGGTGGATGGACAGGAAACCCGTCCAGATGAGCTAATTCTACTTTGCTCTAAGGCTACATTAAGATAAATGTGCTAATCTGAAAATACGTATCTGCCAAACCTCCCGTATCCTTTACATTTCAAGAAACTAGGGAGAGTCCCTACTAAACCTCTTTCTCCATCCATTATGCAGCTGCTGGCTATCTGTTCTTTAAGAAGCATCTCTTTGCGCCATCTCCCAAGGTCTTTCCCATATAACATTACAATTTTCTCTGAATGTATTTCTCTACCTATTTAATTGGGTGGGGGGAGGTTGTTCAATTCCATGTCATTTCATTACTGTATTTTAAGAGTTATAAGTTGCCTCACTCTAGAGGCTTTAGACAGAATCTAAAATTGTAATATAATAAAGATTATTAATAACAGTTTTTCCCCGAACGCCATCACTCTGCTAAACAAATAATTCCCTCAACACTGTTAAACTATTCACTAAGTCTGCATTACTACTGTATTACTATTAATATTTACGGGACCGCCTACTACCACCAATAGCCTCCCACCGGCCAGTACGCTCTCATAGAGAGGGACTCCTCCGGGTGCCGTCAGCCAAACAGTGTCGACTGGCGGCCCCTAGGGGGAGAGCCTTCTCTGTGGGGGCACCTACCATCTGGAATGAGCTCCCCCCGGAGATACGGAGGATCCCGGATCTGCGTTCCTTCCGCCGTGCTGTGAAGACCTTTTTATTCCATCAAGCGGGCTTGGCCTGATCTCTTCCCTTTTTAAAATATGTAAATTTTAATCTGTTTTTAAATTATTGGGGTATTTTAATTTGTCTGGGCCAAAAAGTTTAATTTGATTTTATCGGGTTTTTAAATTTTGTGTATTTATGTATTTTATTGTTGGCTGTTCACCGCCCTGAGTCCTTCGGGAGTAGGGCGGTATACAAATCAAATAAAACCTAAAAAAACCTAAACCTAAACCTAATATTCTCATTGTTCCTATCACCCATCTCCTCCCACTTATGACTGTATGACTGTAAATTGTTGCTGTATCCTTACGATTTATATTGATTGTTTCCTAGTATGATTTGATTGCTTATTTGTACTCTATGACTATCATTAAGTGTTGTACCTTATGATTCTCAACGAACGTATCTTTTCTTTTTATGTACACTGAGAGCATATGCATCAAAGACAAATTCCTTGAGGAATGGACATTAAAAGTTGTGCATTTGGCGGAAATGGCAAAAATTTCATCATATCTTAAAGACCATTCAAATGAGAGATATATATCAGAATGGAGAAGATGGATTGATTATATTCAGAAGAAATATCCGAATAAGAATATTCATATAGCTTATGAATGAAATAATTTTAAGTAGTTTATGTTTTTTTTTTTTTTTTGAGTTATCAGGAGTTAAGGACCTAGGGAGAATATGAAATGTAATAATTTGTTAGCATATTTTAGTTTTTGATTTGTGAATGCTATACCCTGTGCTTGTTCTGGGAAGTCTAGGGAGGGGGGTGGGGGGGGAGGGAGGGGAAGGAGGGGGGGGGTGAAAATGTTTGTATTTCTTATAAAACTTTTCAATAAAAAAAAAAAGACAAATTCCTTGTGTGTCCAATCACACTTGGCTAATAAAGAATTCCTATTCTATTCCTAACTCACAACAAACTTATTCAGCACAACTTTGCCTCATTAATCAAACCACATCTTAACCAATGATGTAATGAATTATTATTTGACTGAAAAATCTGTTGGTTTGTTGGACAAAGCCTGGTCAATGCATTTTAGAATGTAAACTATGCTCAACAACCCAGGAATGAATATTTTCTGCAGATCATAGCTGTTTGAGGAACTTACCGGACGTGGGAATAAATTGCATTTTACTTCGACAGTTTCCTGAAATGGCTTCCCTCTGTTTATCACAGAGCCTTTGCATAGACCTCTCTCCTAGAGCAAAAGAGAAAGTTTTCATCAACAAAAACCAAGAAATTTAATCTGCCAAGATTTGAAATATGCAGTTGGATAGCAGTAGATGTGGTTGTTCAGACATTCTCTATCAAAGGGAATTCTCCATTTTTCCCTATGGTTGGCATGCCAATTCTCCTCCTTAAAATGATGGCTTCTTGTCAGTATGAGAGTTCATGAATTGGGATAGACATGGTACCAGGTCAGCCAATGGGGAATTTCTGGATTCTGAGTTCTGGTTCTGGCTTCTGCTGTATGATATTGTATATACAGAAGTTTCTTATATAAATGAATCCTGCTGAATTATTTACTTGTGTGCTGGTTGAATTGCTGCAAACTCTAACACTTCTGTGGTCCCATTAGAGTGGATGGAGCCTCCATTGGGAAAGCTGAATTCCTGAGCTATGCTTCTTAGAATTTTAAATTCTTTCTTTTCAACCATTCTATGGATTTCCTGAAGCAGATTTTCCAGAACAGGAAATGCGTTTTGGTGTTCCAGATATGAATGTTGTAAATTTAAGGATTATATTTCTATAGTTATATACTCTGTGATCATTGGAGAATTCTCCTGCAAAATTTTGGAAATTGATAACTAACCTTTATGGTTCATAAGTTGGTTTGGAAAATAATAAATGACTAAGCTTGAATTCAGATACAAACTAACTGGAACAACCTTTTTCTTTCAGTTGTTAAGTGAGGTCCATCATTTAAGGTTGGAGAGCCAGTTTTCTGAGATGATAAGAAGATTCCAGGCAGGAATGTTTGGTTTAGATTAGAAGACTACCAAACTCCATTCCAACCTAATTCTATGCCTCCTTTCCATTTCTAGAAGGTGGACCAGAGGTGGGTTTCAGCAGGTTCTGACCAGTTCTGGAGAACCGGTAGTGGAAATTTTGAGTAGTTCGGAGAACTGGTAAATACCACCTCTGACTGGCCCTGTCCCCATCTATTCTCTGCCTCCCAAGTCCCAGCTGATTGGGAGGAAATGGGGATTTTGCAGTAACTTTCCCCTGGAGTGAGGAGGGAATGGAGATTTTACAGTATCCTTCCCCTGCCATGCCCACACCCATCAAGCCATGCCACGCCCACCAAGCCACACCCACAGAACCAGTAGTAAAAAATTTTGAAACCCACCACTGAGATGGACATTTTAGATTATGTCCTCAGGTTGAATGATAAAAGTGTGATCTGGAAGTAGATTTACATATTAACCTTTTCTGTTGCTTTGAAGTGGGATGATTACTATGCATTCATTTATTTATTAAATTTATATTCTGCCCATCTCAGTGACCTGAGAAAATCTGGCATCTTAAAACAGGATAAAAACATAAGTATAAAACTTTGAAAACTGTAAATTCAAAATCAGCAGCAATGAAATAAAAGTTAAACGGTAATAGTAAGTGGTGGAATTTCACCTTTCTCCAGTCAACTACCATTGGTTATTACTTATTACTCTTATTTGTTTCTAGATCTATATAGCTAATATAGCTGATATTAGCATCTGTCTCCCAGTTGTTCTTGATTTATAAAGATAGCTTTATTCAACCGCAACAATACACGAGCACACAATAGATACAAACTCAAGGTAAACTGCTCCAAACTCGATTGCAGAAAATACAACTTCAGCAACGGAGTGGTCAATGCCTGGAATGCACTACCTGACTCTGTAGTTTCTTCCCCAAACCCCTAAAACTTTAAGCTTAGACTTTCTACTGTTAACCTCACCCCATTCCCTAAGAGGTGTGTAAGGGGCGTGCATAAGCATACCAACCACCTACTGTCCGTGTCCTACTGTCCCCCATTTATTCGTACGCATTTCCTGTATTCATAATCATGTTTATACTTATATCTGTTACCTTAAACATGCTTGACAAATAAATAAAATAAAAATAAATAAATAGAATTCTAAACAGGCGAGCAAAACCCAACTCCTGTATTCACTTAAGAATTTATGTCCAAACTAATGAGCTTTTGTGTGAGTTTTCCTTTTTTATCCTTTTGCGTCCCCTGGGACTTTGAGATCATAGAGACAACATGGCGGTGCAGAGAGAGAAAAAGAGAAATGATGAAGGTGCAGAAGATGAATGTTGGGAGAAAGAGGGAGGGAGAGAGAGAAAGACAGAAAGAGAGCGAGAGAGAGCGAGAGAGAGAGAGAGCTGTGTTATCTTTACTGCTAAGGAAGGTGGGTGGTTAAGAACAATGGAAAAGGGAAATTTGCAACCTTGTTGAGTACTGTAAATAGTATGTCATTTGTTAATATAATATAATATTAATAGGTATATGAATTTGCATAGAATGCACTTAATATATTAGGGATGTATTGTTTGTGTAATAAATCTACCTCTTGTTTATACGAGAAAAGAAAATAAGCATTCAGCCTTCCACAATGCAATGGCCAAACTAATAACCTTATAACATGACATAATGGGATAGCTTGATTTATACAGCAAACTAAGATAATTTCTATGTTCCAACAGACTGTCCAATCCGGCAAATTTAAATGTTGTATAAATGCAGCCATTGAGTCCGGCAGATATGAATGAATAAAGGACATGATTCTGTATGAGCAGTTGAAAATTTGGTTCTTGAGAAGGAATGCATTGAGCCATGATGTCGGATTAGGTTTTATGTAATGTTGTGAATACTTACTGCAGCTTCAGATGGGAGGAGAGGGCACCGAGTGATGTCAGACACAGGTGGACTTTTGCGACAGGAAGTCTCCCGGATGGTGTATTCTACGAAGTAGGAAGGACCTACAACCCACTGTAGAAAGTCATAAACTGTTAGAGTGGGTCACATCCTCTGCAGGAAGTGCCCTCATAATTTAGGTGCCATGCCAATCTTTATCAGCCTGATGCCTTCCAGAATAGTCCCCATAATTCTCAGCACTAGGTCCTGGAGAATTGGTAGGACATTGTTAAGTGTCCTCACTAATAAAAGAATATTAATCAAATTGAATGTCACATTGTCCAAAGATCAGAGACCCATCCATATGGGAAACTGGATGCTCCAGAGAAGCCCTCTGGCAGATAAAAATTAAAATCATCTTTACATCAGATTCCCTGCAGACTTTGTGAATCTGTCTATGCACTTTCTTTGGCAATAATGTAGACATAAATTATCCTCTTTTGCAGTGGTGGGATTCAGCCGCTTCGGGCCGGTTCGGGTGAAGCGGTAGTTAAATTGCTGGCTGGCCCCTCCACTCCCTGCCCCGCCCCTTCCAGGAGTCCCCACATGCCCCATTTTGACTCCTAGGTAAGTGCAGGGAGGCCTCCTAGGCACAAAACAGGGCACGGGAGGGCAGCGCGCCTCCCCCTGCGGCCTGCTTTCACTCCCAGGAGTCTTCAGGGAGGCTTCCTAGGCCCAAAATGGGGTGCGGGGGGAGCACAGCGCATCCCCCCCCGTGGCCCATTTTTGCTCCCAGGGGGTTGCAGGAGGTGCTGCCTGTCACACCCCCTGGCCATACCCACCAAGTCACGCCCACGGAACTAGTAGTAAAAATTGTTTGAATCCCACCACTGCTCTTCTGGGATTATTTCTATTATCTTTTTTAATTTCTACATTTGACATGTAGCAATTCTCATACAAATCAAAGCTACAGGATTAAGGTTTTGCTCAAAAATACTCCACTTCAACCTTACCTGTGACTGTCCTTTGGTGACATCGACAAGGCCAAAATAATAATTGCGGCCACTTTCAGCATTGAATTTGGCCAGGGTCTTTTTTGCTACCTCCTGAAAACTGTCTTCGGAAGGATTTCCGGGTCGTGGACAGTCGGGGCAAAGGCGTGTAATAACAGAACTAGAAACTTTAGACAAGCAAAGAAGTATTATTTAAAATGGTGAGGCGATACATTTGAATTTGAGCTTGTACATTTAAATGAAGTGAAATACAGAAACCTTGGATCAGCCTGAAAATAAGCCATCTCTCTCAAACCTGTATCTAGTGAGGATCACAGCATTACTACTGTAATGCTCTCTACATGGGGCTCCCCTTGAGGAGCACCCGGAGGCTCCAACTGGTGCAGAGTGCAGCCGTGCGGGTGGTTATGGGAGCAACAGGGCGTTCCCATGTAATACCTCTCCTGCGTGAGCTGCACTGGCTCCCGGTGGTCTTCCGGGTCTTCCGGGTGCGCTTCAAGGTTTTGGTTACCACCTTTAGAGCGCTCCATGGCTTAGGACCTGGGTACTTATGGGACCGCCTGCTGCCACCAGTAGCCTCTCACCGGCCAGTACGCTCTCATAGAGAGGGGCTCCTCAGGGTGCTGTCGGCCAAACAGTGTCGACTGGCAGCCCCCAGGGGGAGAGCCTTCTCTGTGGGGGCACCTGCTCTCTGGAATGAGCTCCCCCCGGAGATATGGAGGGTCCCGGATTTACCACCTTCCGCCGTGCCCTCAAGACCTTTTTATTTCAACAGGCTGGCCTGGCCTAACTTCCTTTTTTAATTGTAAATTTTTAAATTTGTCTTAAAATATTGGGGGTGTTTTAATTTGTCTTGGGCCAAATTATTTAATGGGTTTTTATATTGTCTTTTAAATTTTGTAGTCTGTGCGTTTTATCTCTTTGGCTGTTCACCGCCCTGAGTCCTTCGGGAGTAGGGCGGTATATAAATCTAATAAAGTGAAATGAAAATGAAATAGTTGTTTAGCAACCTGACACAACAGTCAACAGCAGGGAACCAGTGAAGTCTCTCATTGTGAGAGGGAACAAATCTGAAGGTGGGAACCAATAGAAGAGGATATCTATAGCTCAGGGTGGGACTGTGAAGTCCTTGGTGCTCTCTAAGCTTGGTGGTTTTGCTTGAAGAGGATTCATTACCCAAAACCTCTTCTGCCTCCAGCATGAGACTGGAATCCCCAACTATAAATTCAATTTGGATTTCCCCCCCACTTCCATTTATTCATGCCTGATTCTTGGAGGCAGCCTGGACCACTCAAAATTTCCGCTACCGGTTCTCCAGAACTGGTCAGAACCTGCTGAAACCCACCTCTGGTTTGCTCAGAAATGTAGGCATTAAGATTGTGTAAGAGATCAATATAGAAGTGGTTTTAACCGTTCAGTGGTGTCGAACTCTTGGCGACTTTATAGGCTCTCAATGCTATACTGTCAAACGAAGATCAATATAAATGCACTCAGAAAAAACTGGGTAAAAATGAATAAACTTGCAACAAAAATATATACAGTAGAAAAGGAAACGGGATCAAATAGCACCTGTGGTTGAGAAACAGACCAAAATGAAACTACAGATGTAGTCTTAAGATACCCTGAAGAATGAAGCAAGGCTTTAAAATACAATTTTGGGACTTTTGCATCTATTTGATTTCTGTAGGGAAATCTGTTAAACTGTGACTGAGAGATATATGTGCCCGGATCGATATGTCTTGTAAACCTACATGCAACAAACATGGAAGATACATACACGAGCGTAAAGTGCAGCCATGACTGTAAACGAACGAACTCTTTGACTTCCCGTTGTACTGAATTACTGCTTTGCATTGGCCATACATCTGGAGCAAGAGAAAATAGTTAGTGTTAAGGCCACCCAATTATTTTCCCAATGGTGAAAATAATGAAACTGAGACCTTGAAGGAAATGTGAATGTTTTGTTTGACAATGGACTGAGGGGGGAGGGGGAAGGGGGAAGGGCCACCTTCAATACCAAAAACGGGGTCACTTAGAACTGTGATGGCAAACCTATGGCACACGTGCCAGAGATGGCATGCAGCGCCCTCTCTGATAGCATACAAGCTATTGCCCCAGTTCAGCTCTGCTGCACATGCGTGCGTGCCTCCCACCGGCCAGTTGATCTTCGGGTCTCTGCCACGCATATGCGGGGGCTGTGTGCACATGTGGGGGTGCGTGCGGGGGCTGCGCATGTATGCGGGGCCCCAGGATGCATGCGTGGGGGCGGGGCACATGCGGAAGTTGCACGCGCATGCATGGGAGCCACGTGTGATGGCATGTTATGTGTGGAGGCTGTCCGTGTATGCATGGGGCGGAGCACATGTACAGGGGATGGGGCACATGTGCAGGGGGTGTGGCACATGCATGGTGACCGCCCATACATGCGTGGGGGGTGGGGCACATGCGCGGGGTGCATGCACATTGCATTTTGTGGGTTTGGGTGCATGCACATGCCTTGGGCACTCGGTCCAGAAAAGGTTAGCCATCACTAACTTAAAAGATAGCCGAGAACTGCTTCCTCTTCTTCCAGGATACAGACATGGAAGAACGAGTTTACGTTGGAGGAAGGAAATTCAGATTGATTATTCAGAGAACCTTCCCATGTGTAAGAGCCAGTGGGACAGCAGGACAGGCAAGAGAAATTATGAGATCTCTCTGTCCCTAAATAGCTTTACCTTACCACCAGGTGCTCTGAGAGCCCTCGGTCAGGAAGGCTGTCCCTTGAGTTCGTGCTGTGAGTGGAGGTTGGATCCCTTCGTCTCCCTCCCTTCCAATGCCATTCCAACTTCATGAGTACAATGCCATTGAACTGAAATAGCATTTCAGTGCAGGGAATTTTCCTCAGCACAGACATGCCAAGGAACCGGTGGCAAGATGGGAGAAGTGGTGAGGGCTATTGTGACGAGAGAGATTTGTTGCAACAGGGCAAGTGAGTAGAGTGACTCCTTCCACCTCTTTTGTAAACCAGTTCAAAACCCAGATTCGACTTCCTTCCAAACCCCGTTGGTAGTTCTTTGAGTAAATACATCGATTACTTACTGTTCCCTGTTCACTTCTAAATTTGCATTCTTTCCACTTTTTCCCGCTTTGGATATGGCATTCGGTTTCTAAGACGTCCAAGGTGAGGTAGAAAAGAGAATCACCATTTTTCTATGGACAGACAAAGAAAAACTCCTGAAAAGCCGAATCAGGGTGTCAATCACCTTAAGCACATTTAGATGGAAATAAATTAACATTCAAATCACCATTAGGAAAAAAAAGGAAAAAAAAGGACAGGAGGTCAGCCGATTTTTCACTTGATGTCAAGAAGCCAGCTGTGCTCTCGGTTGAGTCCAGCAGCTTCCTTGAAAAGGACAAGGGGTCCAAGTAATTTTAATTATTTACTTATTCCATCGGTATGGCATCCATCTTGCTTTCCAAGTAATGCAGGCATTGTGATCCAAGACTAATGACTAAAAAAAAAAAAAAACCTGTTTAGCCATCTTGTGCACATGCCTAAAATGTTTGCAATTCTGCTGGGATGCTGCAATACCACCTCTTAATCTTTGATTTATTTATTTATTTATTGGTTCGATTTATATGCCGCCCCTCTCCGGAGACTCAAGGCGGCTTACAATGCGTTAAGCAATAGCCTTCATACTTTTGTATATACCTGCTCAGTAGGGCTTTCGGTCCCCCCTAAGCAGTGTTCTTTTTTATACAAAGTCAGCTTATTGCCCCCACAATCCGGGTCCTCATTTTACCTACCTCGGAAGGATGGAAGGCTGAGTCAACCTTGAGCCTGGTGAGATTTGAACTTGCAGCAATTGCAGGCAGCTGGCAGCTAAGTGCTACTTAACAGCACTTTAGTCCGCTGCACCACCAAGGCTCCTTGATGAAGAGGAAGAGAACTTCTAGGCCTCAGGATTAATCTCCCAGTATTTTAATGTTACAATGGATAGCAACTACTACATCGAGAATAAACTGGTTACTTTGGTGTGCAAAGAACAGGTCGTATAATGTGGATGCCTTTCAAGCTTTTTCTTTTCATCGTCCCTTGTTTAAATTTCCGCTCTCTGAATTTAGAACACCAATCACATCTTTGAAAATATATAAACCCTAAGCTCTGTTCAGTTGGAGAGTTGGACAGTAAAAGACTATATAGCAGTGATGGCTAACCTTTTTGCCATCGTGTGCCAAAAGCAGGGGGAGCGTAGGGGGTTGCACACACCCATAATTCAATTCAGCCTGCCCCTCCATGCATGCGCGTGACACCCCCCCTGGCATGACCCCCGCTTTTGGCACATGACAGTACCTACAACTTCTGGAGGCAAGTCATTCCACTGATTAATTATTTTAAGATCTAGGTTACTTCTCCCCTTGATTAGTTTCCATCCATTGCTACTTGTTCTGCCTTCAGGTGTTTTGGAGAATAGGTTGACCCCCCCTTCTTTGTGGCAGCCCCTTAGATATTGGGACATTGCAATCATGTCACCCCTAGTCCTTGTCTTCATTAGACTAGACATATCCAATATTCCTGCAACCATTCTTCATATATTTTCGCCCCCAGTCTTCTTTATTGCTCTTCTCGCAGTAAAGCTGGCCCTGCATCTAGTATGTAGGACGAACAAAAATTCCCACTTACTCTCATTTTATCAGGGCTACCAAATCTAAGCTATATCTCTTGGGTGCCATCAAGTGATTTTTGCAGAGTTTTTTTCCCCTCTGCCAAGATACATAAGTGCTTCCATAATCTGACAGCAGAATAGCTGGTTTTGAATGGAAGGAAAGGAAAAACTCAGCAGAAGGCGGAGATCTTACCTGGGGTAGTTCATGGACATCGAAAATACGCTGGAGGCCAAGAACATAGCCTTTTTTCCGATTGGAATTGATTTTGTTAAGGGCCACTTCTGCAGCATCCTTTACCACCAAAGAATTGCAAGACGGGTAAACAAAGGAAGCTGTCGAGGCAGCCAACGTATGAACTATCTGTATCCCAATTAAGAATGAAATATAAAGAACCATTTTGGACATTTTTGCATGATCAGGGAAGGCAGAAACTGGAACTATGCTGAGAAGAGCCAGGTTCTGAAAGAGCCTTGTCCATCTCCCTCTATATATACTTTGATATTAATCAATAACTAATGTTTATTCTTCTACTATAAAGATATGGTGGACCACACCTTTAGGCTTCATCCTGTGACTTAAAGAGTGTATCTTGGCAGGGAAATTTTCATCTGCGGTCATATTCTTGGATTCAAACCAGTTTCATTGCAGAAAGAACCCTGCCTTCTTTCCTTGGAAAAGTGTCACTAATGTATAATAATTTATACTGTGAGTATTGTTGATGGTAAAATAACCTTGTGGGTGTGGCTGGTCAGAAAATGGCTCATACATTCACTGCAAAATGTCTGACACTGTGAGTGTGTGTCATGGCTATATATATATGCAAAAAATTAAAATCTCGGGTGTTTTCCCGCGTCATTATAAATAAGTTGGTTAAAATATTTAAAATCGTGGTTAAAATCCCAGTTTAAAATCTTCTAAAAATCCTTACAGCCCTGCACACCCGCAAAAACTTAAGAAGACACACATATATATATATATGTATATATATATATATTTTCTGAGGTTTTCACGGGTGTTTATATGTAGGTCTTTGGTTATTCGGTTTTCTCCCACGTAAAATTGGAAGTGTCTTGGCGACGTTTTGACGAAGTCTCATTCATCATCTTCAGGCTGGTGTTTTCGGCTTCGTGCTTCTAGGAGCAATCCTAGAAGCTGAAAATACCAGCCTGAAGATGATGAATGAGACTTCGTCAAAACGTCGCCAAGACACTTCCAATTTTACGTGGGAGAAAACCCGAATAACCAAAGACCTACATATATATATATATATATATACTCTCAAACCAAATGCATGCTGGGAAACCAGACTCCATTTTCCTTTAGCATTTGGAGAAGGCAGAAGCACAAAGAAGAATCCATCTTAATCTGTGGCACATGGTCATCCAAGAACAAATCCACATCCCACACACAGAGCATCGCTGGTGAGATTTAAATTGCTTGTATTTATTCATTGTTATGTTTAGCAGTAACTCAATATGGTCTGTCTTATTTTTGGTTCTCGTTGTATGTATCCCTATTTTCCTCAGTTTCACCATATCCTGTTCTTTCAATAAAGTATTCAGATCTACGCACGCAGTCTGTTTTATTGGAGCAGGGGTCTCCAACCTTTTGGACTTCAGGGACCACTAAATTCATAATTTTAAATCCCGTGGACCACTAATATGATCTGCCTAATGACTGGCTGGGTGGGCGTGGCTAGGTGGTCATGTGACTGAGTGGGTGTTGCCAACTTGATGTCACTCACATTGAGGGGCGCCTCGCCGGTCTCTACTCACCCCTCCCCTCCTATCCACTCCTCGCCTGCTCGCCCGGGCTCCTTAGGGCCCCAACAGGAAGCAGTTGTTGGAGCTAAGCAGCCACCACGAGAAAGAGTTGGCAAAACAGCTGGCTCAGTTCAAATCGGATCTGACCGAGAAGGAAGCTCAGCAGAAGCACCTCACTGAGGACTACGAGCCTGGGCTTTCCAAGCAGAGGGAAGACTTAAGGGAGTACAAGGCCAGGTACCGGCGCCTGGAGGCTCAGTGGGCTGAGATGGTCAGCCAGATCCAGGCCATGATTCAGTCCCACTGGAACGAGGCCCTCCGGCTCTTTGCCACCAGTGACACTTCCCTCCAGCCTTTGCCCAAAGCCAAGTTGGAATTTCTGCCCCCCTCCGACCCACACAAAAAGACCCCAAAGGGGGAAACTTTCTGCAGAAACACAAGCACGTATTCGGCCCAGGGGCCGTAGTTTGAGGACCCCTGATTTGATGCAATATTAAAAATACAAATAATTTTTCTGCGGACCACCAAAATTTTCTCACGGACCACCAGTGGTTCACGGACCACCAGTTGGTGACCATTGTATTGGAGGATAGGTGGGTTTAGCTGCATACGGAGCTGCACGTAGACTAACATGTAGTCAGGACAGAACTGTGTGGTTAGTCACAAGACATGCATTGATGGGAAGACTAACTGGGAATGTGTCTTTCTCTCTCTCTCTCTCTCTCTCTCCCAGTATTGTCTATTTTCCCTGATTACTAGCTCATTATAAATTAGTAGTATGCATTTTGTGGTACTGAACTGCTGAGAGGCAGTGGATGACTCTGGGCCAGCCATTATTTCTCAATTCAGTCTATATTACAGGTTGTTGTTTTAATTTAGGGTGAAATTCAGGGGGAGGAGGTCTTATGGACAGTGATAGGGAAAGGGTGGGATATGAATGTAATATCAAGGTTGCAGAAAAACAATGCTTCCAATGTTAAAGAGCCCTTGACTTATAACCGTAATGGAGCCTGGAATTACTTCCATAAGTTACTGCAGTTATTCAGTGGGACACCATGTGATCAGGCCTGATTTTGCAACCTTTTTGCAACCAGTCATTAAGCAAATGCTGTGGTCTTTAAGTAAAGCCATTATACCTCTTATGCATTTTTTTTTTTTTTGCTGGAAACCATCGTAATTTTGAATAGTTACTAAGCTCAACTTCCATCTGGGTAATTCTTGGGTTACTTAATCCTTCTAGGACACCGTGGAAAGTTTTTCTTTATCAGATCTTAAAAATTACCACTTGGAGATAACCACATTGGCATCTACTTAGGGGTGGGCTTCAGATCCTTTAGCAACGGGTTTGTGGCCCTGTTGCTAATGGGCGTGGATCCTCAGATCCTTTAGCAATGGGCGGGGCCACCATGGGCGTGGCCTAGTCGGCCACCTGCACCACAGTGGGGGGCGGGATTTTTCATCCTCCCCAGGTTCCGGAGGCTTTCCTTGAGCCTCCGGGCGGGTGAAAACTGCTTCCCCTGGGGTCTGGAGGCCCTCTGGAGGCCAGAAACAGACCCATTTCCGGACTTCCAGAACTTCCGGGAGGTCCATTTTTCGCCCTCCCTAGGCTCCAGAGGCTTTCCTTGAGCCTCTGGGAGGGAGAAAACAGCTTCCCCCGAGGTCTGGAGGACCTCCAGAGGCTGGAAACAGGCCCGTTTTATGCTCTACCAGACCTTTCGTGCGGCCCCAGCACTTACTTGGAATGAAGAACGGGCTGCGTCGAGACTCCTGGGAGGGGAGGAGTGGGATCGGCTTGCCAGCTAGGGGGGGCATTTGGGGGTTTGCCCAACCCCGGCAATCCTTGGCTAGAGAATCACCCGAACCCTGCTGAACCCCCAGGATCCCACCCCTGCAATTACTGTATAAAAAAGAAAGAAATTGATGTTAATTTCTAACAGCTCTCCTTCAGAGCACCAACGATTCTTTTTCTCTTTCAGGCTGCACTGATTCAGCTGTTCTAGAGGTGGCTGAATAGTTTCCTGGAAGAAGGAAGCTATTTTCAGGTGTCCCAAAGGTGAACTTATTATGTTAATTAATGTATTCCTATTGGTATATAGTTTCGGTTCATGAGGAAATGCACTGTGAAATTTTGGAAAATTACAATTAACATTACGATTCATAGGTTGGCCTGGAAAATGCTAAATTATACTGTACAGGTTTTTATTCAACTGGGACAGCCTGAATTCTGGAGTTATGTGTATTGCACCATTGGAGGTTCTTAAGAAAAGATTGGAACACCAGGCTTCTTGGATGATATGAGAATTCCTGTGCAGTGGGTACAGGAACCGTATCTCTGTGTGGTTCCTGTCCACTTCTACAAGATGGAGATATAGACACTATCATCAGGCGCAGTGGTAGTGCAGTATTGCAGGCTAATTTTGCTGACTGCCAGCAGTTTGATTCTCACTGTTATGGCCCGTCAGCGGCCTGTGCAGATTGTAGCTGATTCCGACAACGAGGAGGCAGCTAGCGCTTGAGTCAGACAGTGAGGAGGCTGGAGAAGATGTGGTGCCAGACGTGGGGATTCAGCCAGGGCCTTCAGAACCTCCAGAAGCTCCTTTAAGTGAAGAGGACGAAGAGGAGGAGCCTCTTCTCAATGCACGAGCGCGCAGAGCTGCCAAAAGGCAGGAGTGGCTCCTCAGCAGGAGGTCTCCTCAAAAGTAAGGGTTGGGGCTAATTGGCCATTCCCTTAGCCTATTTAAGGAGGAACCCCGATTGCAGCAAACTGTAGGGAACAACTTTAGTTCACTCTCCTTTGCGTTTGGATTCTCCGCAAAATTGCTTCTGGGCTTTCTGCCAACCCTATAAGACTGTGATTACCTTATCTTAGAATTCTTGTAGGCTGTTAAGACAGTTTATTAACAGCCTTTGGTTGAAAAAGACTGAGTTATTTGAGTAAAATAAACTTTGTATAGATTTTGTGTGTGCTGCGTTCTTTGAGGTCCATAGCTGGGGCAGAACATTCACCAGCTCAAGGTTGACTCAGCCTTCCATCCTTCTGAGGTTGATAGCAATAGCAACTTAGATTTATATACCGCTTTACAGTGCTGATTCATTGTGGAATTATTACTGTTCCTTTAATTTCTTTTCAAAAAGATTTATTACAGCTATAATAGTAATATACAGTAGCTGGCCGTCATTTAGAATAGAATAGAATTTTTTTATTGGCCAAGTGTAATTGGACACACAAGGAATTTGTCTTAGGTGCATATGCTCTCAGTGTACATAAAAGAAAAGATACGTTCATCAAGAATCATAAGGTACAACACTTAATGACAGTCATAGGGTACAAATTTTAAATGGCTTGGTTCCTACAATATATTAAGTCCTAAACCTAAGCTAACGAAGACCAATTCCTAGACTTATATAAGAAGTTATGCCAAACTATTGTGCTTTATTGTGGCAAAAAAAGTGATGGCTTGGTTTACATCAGTTAAAAGCTGGCTTTGCCCAAACTATTCAATTCCATTTTAGTTGATTCTGGAGAAAAATGTACTAGACTTCAATGACACACTTGGTATAAGATGCCTGAATACTCAATGCAATATTGGAACAGAGAACACTTAGGGATGGCAGACATCAATCACCTGGATTTTAGAAGAAGGGGTCTCTTTGATAGAGACAAAGTTGAAAAGACCAACAATCCACCATCAAAAAG